GAAGCTTCGCTCAAAAAGTTGGAACTTTTTATTGACCGTAAAGTTATGTAAACCGAATACTTGCTAAGTTTTTTTGTTGGTTTTGAGAATTGAATGTGGTTGTCTTTTTAAAAATCATTCACGTGCTACTATTATAAATGAACTATACTTTAATAAAGCCGTCCCCGAAACGCACCTCAAAATTACTGACTCCAAATTACTGATTTTAAAGTCATGCATTGCATATGTATTTATACATATATAAATATGTTGATTTATGTATGTTTTGATTGCCATTATACGTGAGATAAATAAAATTAAACTAGTAGATTTAATTAGAAGAAACCTAAGAAAGTGGTATAGTTGTAGCTCAGTAGAACTTTTCAAACCAGCCGCCAATAAGGTACGGATAGCCAACCTCCGATAGGATAAGGAACTACAAGAAGAAGAAGAATGTATTTATATATAAAAGCAACTTTGCTGAGGTTAGAATAGAAGGCATAATCTCTCATGGTTTTACCAAATGTAAAGAAGTAAAGCAGTATTCTTTACATCATCACATTTTTGGTCTTGTGGTTTTCTATTTGAATATTTTCAAAGCTTATTAATTATTATTTGTTAGTCACATAGTCTTTCTGTTGGTACTTTATAATTAATTGTATACATTAACTTATTTGGTACCGATTTTATTAGACTTGTTTTTTAATAGTATATCTTTACATATTTGTAAACAAATCCGTACGTACTTACATACGTTTTGATTTTATGTCAAGTCTTGTGGATTATCACCATAATATATAAATGTAAGAATAACCATAACGAATTTTTAAAAGATGTATCTTAATATTTAAACAATTCCTTTCAAGTACGTATATCTTATCGTTCTAGTGAAAGTATGTGGTGCATTATGACAGTATTACAAGAAATAAATTAAAACTATTGGTACTTTCAGATAGACTAATAATTATAGACTAATAAATATTATAAAATAAATAAAGAAAGAACCCAATAATTGGGTTCTCAATATCTAATATCAAATTTAACATAAAAAAAGGGGAAATAGGGCGACTTCGGAAGCCCTGATACCCAGTACGACGATTTTTTTATTGTTCTATGGCCAAGTAAAGATATATATATATATATATATATATATATATATATATATATATATATATATATATATGTATATATATATACCAGAATTATTTGTTATAAGCAAACTATTAAATTGAATATTAAAAACATATTTGCAGGGACTTAATAATCCTTTTGTCATTTTGATATTCCGAGTAAAGTGACTAAATCATTTTTTGTGGAGACAGTGGAACCAATATGCCACTTTATCAAAATACGTCTACTAATGCCATATCTTACAAAAAGGAAGTGATACATTTAACAGAAATAGTAATAGGTGATGTAAGTAGTATGCTGTATTAATGTCAATTAGCTTTTAGGTGGATGGAAAATGAATTAGAGAAAGAAATGAAGCAGTGGGTTTTTGATTTATTTAGACTAAAACTTAATACGACAAAATTTAATATCTAAAATATAAAATTCCTGATTTAATACGGTCATCTAGCCTTAAAGGTCCACTGTTGAATATGGGCATTTTTCTCTTGTTTGTAAGTCTATCTTGCGACGCGCTCATCCAGTCAGAGCGAAAGTGCAAATTAAAAAAGCTAGTAACGTGCGCCAAAAAAAATCCAACGAGACTGAAAGATAAATTCTGTAAGATAGTAAGACCAGCTATATTGTAAGGAATTGAATGTTAAGTAGTTACAAAAAGTAGTGGGTGCTTGCCGAAAAAATAAGTATTATTAGGTAGAAAAACATCAAAGGATAATGTGAAGAAGTTACTGGAAGGAGCAGGAAAGAAAGACTAGTACACATATAATAGAAGACATACGAGACATGATTGTGAAGGATTTTAATAGTATGAATTAATAGAAAGATACGAAGACAATGTAAATATAGAAATCTAAAAATATATAACTTTTCATGACGATGATTCCAGTGAGAAGATGGAAGTATTCTTACGAAAAAGAAGTAAATGTGTTTATACTTCAAGTGTTTTAATGTAAGGAGATAATTATGTAAATAACGAAGACGATAGAAGATTATGCATGTGTTGTGTATCGAATATATGTGTATCGATGGAGTATATACGGAAAAAACCAAACGACAAAATACTAACGGAACGAAGAAGGAAAGCGAGATAACTGGTAGAGTCATGTTTTTCTTATGCGACGTTATTAAATAATTTATAAAAAGGGAGTCGATATGCATTATGCATATAACAATAGATCGATAAAAGTGACATCTGTGTATAGGAGATCATCTAAAATTAAGGAGCATCAAAAGCTTCCGAAGTTTATACATGGACGAATAGTTCTTATTTTGATTTTCATTTTAATCATACAGATCTTTTATATTTATGATTTTTTTCTTAACAATTACCCCCTTTATACTCTGATTATCGCATGTATTTAAATTTCTTTTTAAAATGGATGAAAATATAGTCGTAAAAATATTGCAAATACGTTTTTAGAGTTTTGATAATTTGCTGCAGCGACAAATTTAAAGAATAAAAATAATTTTTATAAGGTCAGTAAAAAATGTATCCACCGAAAATCAGTACATATCTGTAGTCATATAAAAGTCATATGTCCTAGTTTTTGACGAATAATATTTATTTTCTTCGATATGTCATTCGTTTAATAATATTATATATTGGCCAACTTTCATGAATATGACCATTCACGTTATCTTAAGAAGGAAGTACGAAGAAAGAAGATAATAAAGAAATTAATGGGAAGTGTTAACTGAGCAGCATTATCAGTAACAGATGTAAGTGCCAAGGAACACGTAAATAAATAAATATATTACTGATTTAAAATTGGTTCCCTGAAAAATTAAACTAGACGGACATATCACCCCAAACCCCAATCATCCCAAACCCGCCAAAATGTAATGTTTTTGTTTTTTTTTGTGGGTTGCAATCAATTTAAAAATTTCAAAAAATTCACATGCGTAGATAAGGCTTGTTAAATGTGTGTATTTTTTATAGACCTATAAGTTGGGTACCTAAATGCATAACACAAAAATGCATTTTATTTAAAAAATGTATAATTTTTGTTTGAAGATGGCTGCCGGTCTAGTTTTATTTTTATTTTGTGTATTAAATCAAAACCTATGTTTCTGATTTTTTTTTATTTTCTGGTCAGGTATGTCATCTTCAAAGTCATAACCCAAAAACTATTTTTGGTGACTTTCTTTATTTGACTTCAAAATAGACCAAATTAGGCTTTTTAATAGATAGCGCTAAAATTGAGCGAATTTTAGCGCTCAAACAACATGTTTTTTCAAGGTTTTTACCAATTTTTCCGAGTTTTTGAGAGTTTACTCATATTTTTGAAATCTGTACATCCTGAATAAAATTTTTAATTTTTTTTGCGTTTTTGCGTTTTTGCGTTTTATGTACGTCATTTTTTTCCTTATTATTATTTTTTCGGTGGGTACAATGAATTTAAAAATTTCAAAAAAATCACATGCATAGGAGAGGCTTTTACAAAAATTGTTTATTTTTATAGACCCCTAGGTTAAGCGTACGTAACGTAAAAATGCATTTTTTGTCGAAAAAAGCGTATAACTTTTTATGGAGATAACTGCATGTCTATTTTCTATTTGTAATATAGGTGTATTTTATTAAAAAAAATTGTTCTGATTTTCTTGGGGTTTTTTTCAGTAAGTCACCGTCAAAAATCCGAATAACAGTTTTTTAGGGACTTGTCAAATTTTTCCCATGTAAAGACTTTTTAAAGTAGATCAAAACAAGTTTTTTTTACTTTTTTTTTACAACTGAGTCCTTTAGGAAATTAAAAAATCAAGCAAGACCCCGTTAAATTACCAAAAACACGGTTTCAAAAAATATTTGAAAAAAAAATTTTCAAGCTTCAAAGAACCAAAATAATTATTTATGCGAAAACTCAGGTTTTCAAAGTGTTACTTGGGAATTTTTACTGAATTTACCCAACTTTATTAACCTTTTTACATATATTATATGAGATGTGATTTTACAATCCACTAAAATTGCCATAATAACGTAATAACCTGGTTTTTCGCATATTTCAACTAATTTCAATCTTCTCTAAATACGGAAAATTTATCGTTTCGTGTTATTTTATAAATTTTTTGAAAACATGCTCCTTAATGATGTAGAAAAATAAAAAAGTTGGACAAATCCAGTAAAAACCCCCGAATAAGGAATGAAAACCTGTATATTTGCGTAAACGATGGTTGTATTTGCTTCTTTGAGACCAGAAACTATTCTTTTTACATATTTATTAAATATGAATTCGAGACGTATCGAATCAGGTTGTTTCGATCTCAAATTATATGATGAACCTCGCAAAAACTCTAAAAACCAAGAAAAAAACATAGTATTTTTTAAATTTAAAGAGCTTAGTGACATCAAGATATATACAACGTATAAAAAATCCGAATTTGATCTATTTTGAAACCTATAAAATGAAGAACATCCCAAAAAACCATAAAGAACAGTTTTTTGGATTTTTGAAGGTGGCGCACCTGACAGAAAAATCTGGAAAAAATCAGAGATATATATCTGCAAACAATTTCAAAAATATAATTTTAGGTTATGTACATTCAATCTACAGGTCTCTAAAAATACACGAGTTTTGTAAAAAGCTTAACTATGCGAATGAATTTTTTGAAATTAATAAATTGATTACAACTCGTCGAAAAAAAATGACGTTTAGGATAATAGGTGAGGGGGGATTGAGTTTTTAAAATTGCACTTAGTTATTTTTTAATTACGCAGAATGTAAAAAATGACAAAATTGAAGTCTAAGGGTGAGAGCATGTTGCCTATCTTAACGGAAGGAAGGAAAATAGCGATAAGAAGCTCAGCAAAAAATACTGTACAAAATATAAATATAAATCTCTCTGCATTTATAACAAACAATTTATTAATAAAAATGAAAAAAAAAAAAAAAATAAGAACGCGTGGTTACATTTGTTACTACCAATGATACAAACATAAAAGTACTTATGTTTGAATTGAATAATAGTTATGATAACCGTTATTTTTCTCCTTATAAAGCCTTTTATATGGCAACGTTAAAAAAGATTTTGACATATTTTCATCCATCAAACTGCTTTTTACAAAATAAAAATAATATAAATATATCACGTCCTCTTCTGTGCCCATTTAAAATCATCAGCTCGTGGTTTGCAGCCTGTGCACATTTCAATGATGATTTCCAGTATACTCCAAAACCGAAGTTTTTCTAGAGGCCAATTTAACCAACCTGTTGTTATGCAAAAGTATGTTTCATGAGGTGCTACATGGTGTATACGGTGATGTCGACGAGGCAGGATGATTCGGTATTCTTGCAGGAAAATCACCCAGCTTGGCAAATCAAAATATGTATGGGACCATTTATGAATCTAAAAGAAACACACGTAAATAGCAATAAACTAAAATAAAGAGAAGAAACAAACAAATTTGAAATTAGTGAAGCGGTCAAGCAGATAGAGTCATTATGTGTCATGTTGTTAAATTTGGAATTTCTTATTTCATTTATATTTCATATTTCATACACTGAGTTTGTCTGTAATGAAAAAATCTTGTGAACGGCCTAATTCGAAACTACTACCGTTTATTATTTTTTCTTACTACGCTATTTGAAATTATCTATATTTTAAAATGTTTGGACATTATATGCATTCTCTGTTTTGATGCTAAAACATAAATTTAGTTTAACAGCTCTGATTTCTAAACCCGTTTGTTCTTATGCTATCCAAGTAGTATATGTAGATTTTTTAACTCTTTTTCTCAATACTATACGTTATTTATAATATATATATATACTTGTGTAGACAATGTTACGTTGGGATTTTAAAATGATTGTCCTTAGTTCAATTTTTGCATGTGTTATAGGCTATTGATTATGTTAAAAAAATAGATCTAAAAGGAACTACAACGTTAAGGGGTTTTATGATATGGTTAATGGACACTCGAATATGAAAAAATCTCGGAGTGCTACCATTTAAAGAGGTGCTTTTTTCAGAAAGTGGTGAATTTGTTAATATGCAGTAGGGTGCATTTGGGTGAATTATATGCAATTTTCGTACATATATATCTACAAAAAACTTGTTCAAAATTAATTTTTTTAACAAAATATTACCTATTGTTAAAAATAATTCTCTTTGACAAAAATATATTTAAAAAACGAAGCAAAAAAAAAACAGGAACGCACGCGATTTTTTTGTCCCGTGAACATTTTTTCACGGGGATATAGGAATAGACATTGCTTTACAGAAAAAATATTGATTCTTCCTCTTTAAAAAGACATTTGGTAACAGTCTTTAGGATTCACAGCATCAGAGTACTCACACTATTTTCTGGCCACTTTCCATTTTTTTCACAAACATTGTTCTATAACTTTTTCTACGTCGTTTTAGGTATATGCAGTAGATGAAAAGAAAAATCAATTATCTTTAAAATGATCTATTGTAGAAGGTTCTAGCACTAATTTCTAGGTTCTGAAGGTTCCTGAAAGATTTCTACTTTTAACGATTTTTGCGGCTTTTTTAAATTTCTCATTATAACTTTTTTTCTTGTAGATTTAGGTGCATTAATAATAATTTGTGTATACGATTTGTATATACCTATAGTCCGTTTCCATCGTATTGATAGCACATTATGTATGCAAATCCCTAAACTGTTGATACGGGTGACTCAATGAAAAATATATATTTGTCAACAAGTTTACAGAAGTATATAGAAAAACAATTAAATTGAGTATGACCACCAGGTATAAAGGTTGAAGCAGAATAGAATACAATAGTTTTGCGGGTTACTATTAATCTCTAAATAAAGTTGCCAGTGTCGGAGTGATGGAGATTAACAGGTACTAATGAATTTGCAAGAAATGTAAGATGCTTATTTTATTGGTTATATTATATAAAATAATTTGTGGCCGTAACAGGGGCCGATTTGTAAAAAAATGAATATTATTTTAATCAAATTCCATTTCAGATTCACAGCTTTCTTCAGAATCTAAGGAATCTTCAAGCAATTTTTCTGCTAGTCTTGAATGGTAACTAGCATTATCCATGACTATGACAGAATTTTTTGGAATTAAATCCAACATTTGCTCAAAATATTCTTCAAAAACGTCAGCAGTCATTTCCTCGTGGCAATCTTTGGTTGATTTTGAGGCAAAACTTAATAATCCACCATTGACATAACCGTATTCGTTTCCAATATGGGTTTTTATGAGTCTGTGTTCTTTTCCAACGGGAATATTGTTTATTCCAGTAAATACACCTTCGATGAATGCCTGACGGGAACTTTTCACATTTGTATCAATCTATAGATATGGTACAGTATGACCTTCATTTAGCCAAGTCTTGTCCAAATAAAAAATTGTTTTCCCTTCTTCTCGGTACTTTTTAATAGTTCTTAGATAATCTCTTCTCCAACATACAATGTAATCTTTTTCAATTAAAACGGATTTTCTTCTATTCTTTTGCCAAAGAAATCCCATCTCTCTCAATAGTCCCCATAATTTCTTGTTGCTTATGATTGGCAACTCTTCGTTTTCTCTAATTAATGTTTGGATTTTGTCCAATGTTGGAAATTCTTTGTTAAAAAAAATGAGTGGACGCTCATTCTCTTCACCACTCTTCTTGGGAGATGAAACAGTTCCTCCTTTTCTTTCTTTTAGGAATCTATAAATTGTTCCTTCTCCAACCCCTGTCATATTTAAACACATGTTAATGATTTCACGAACATTACTTAAAGGGCGTTAATGTACAAGTGCATCGTGTACATTTAATATTATATTTTTCTCTCTTAGATTGAAGGCAAATTTAAAACTACACTTAACCGGGATAAAACCTGTTGTCGACGTCATTTTAAAATGCAAATAACACCATATCGACACCAAAAACGTAGATAGGTAAGGCATGAACAATGTACATCTACAAACTAAATGAAAGATGCAAATAATTTCCAATTTATATTATTGGCATAAGCTGTAATGTGGCATAAAAACTACTTAAACTATCATTAGTGAAGCTTTATCAGTAATTCCAGGTAATCGCTCAAAGACGGTATTCTTTTTGTGTCAGGCGATAACTTGTATAGAAAACAATAATCACCTTTAAATTACTGTTTACATTAATTTGTTTCGTGAAACATTGAATTCTCTCGTTAATCACCCATGTATAATTAACAATAATCGTGTGGCATATATACCGACGTTTTTTAGGCACAAAAAAGGTATAGTGAGATTAGTGGACACTTATTTTACAGAAGATTTTTTAAAAGATAATGAATTGTTGATGGCATCTTAAAATATTAATTTGTTTTATTTATTTCAAAACAAGTATATGGTTTTTTGACCTGTTGAGGATTTGCATACATAATATGCTATCAATATAATGGAAAAGGACTATAAATAATGTACAAGGAAAGAACACTCCAGTTGCAATAATCAGAGATGAAAATGCCACTAAACCTGTAAAAATCATACGAACAAGCTGAATTTTGCTGAGAAGGTCAATTTTGGGACCTCAAAAAGATCCAAAAAAGTTTGCCACTCCTACACCAGAGCTTCCCTCTAAAACCGCCCCTCAAAAGGGGGAGGGTAAACAGAAAATATCGATTTAACAAGAATCCGTACGCCGTAGAAAAAATATTTCAAACAAAAAATGTAGCTGTAACGTTGAACAAAAATGTATATTAGCACTTTTTCTGTAGAATGAACCGTTATCTGAGAAGTAACGCTTGAAGCGACCGGCGATTTTAAGTGTGTTACGCGTGAGAAATCAATTTTTGAAATAAAATTTGTATTAGCTCTACGGAAAAAACTCGAAAACTCGATAGTTTTTGATCAAAGTACCTTATCGACAAAAATTGAAATAGATTTTAAAGATAAAGAGTGCAGCTTTCGTACATAATTTTTGCCTTTTGCCATAAATGGCATAAATCTTCAAAGGCATAAATCTTCAAAAGTAGAAAACTTCGAAGAACCGTATCTTGCTTAAAATTAGTCCTAGAGTCTTTTACAGTAGACCATTCTAAAGGTAATTATTTTTCTTCCTATTTAACTTACCATTGCATATACCTAAAACTGCGTAAAAAGAATTATAGGAAGAGAAATTCCCAAAAATGGTGTGACTAGCGCATTTTGAAAGATCGTATCTCGGTTTTTTTTCTGCAAAGCAATGCCTATACCCGTGAAAAAAAGTTATAAGGCAAAACAGAAAAATCACGTGTGGTTCGTTTTTTGCTAAGTTTTTTAATATATTTAATATATATACATATACATATATATATATATATATATAATATATATATATATATATATATATATATATTATATTTATATATATATATATATAATATAAATATATATATATATATATATATATATATATATATATATATATTAATTATATATATATATATATATATAATATATATATTATATATAATTATATATATATATATTATATATATATATATATATATATATATATATATGTATGTATATATTTGACTGTAGTAAGTGATCAAAACAACTTCTCTGTAGATGTATATGTAAGAAAACTACATAGCATTCACCTAAATGCACCCTAGTGCATAGAGCCAAATTCACTCATTTCTAAAAAACGCTGCCCTTTTAAATGATAGTACTCCGCAACTTTTTTATTTTTGGGGGTCCATTGAACATAGGAATTAATAAAACCCCGTTAACGTTGTAGTTCCTTTCTAAAGTACATAATCAATAGCCTAGTTGTACAATTTTTTCTTGTGTATAATCCTAGCTTTAAAACAGAGTAGTAGACCTGCTCGGAAACTACTGAAGAATATTAGCCAGAAACCTAGTGAAAAAACAAACAATTTCCCAAATATCACAGCAAACCAATTGGCCTTACAACTCCTTAAAAATGGCAGAGCAACTGAACAAAGAGGTAAATAAAAAATTAAAATGAGAAGGGATTAAATTAGTCAGCTGAGTGAACCTTTCAATGATGCTGAGCTTAGATCCGCCATCCACATAATGAAAAAATAAGGCTCCGGGAATTGACGCACAGAGCAAATTAAGAAGTTTGTACCAAAAACACTGCAATGGATCCTCCAGATCCATCCAGAAGTATTATGCTTATAAAGGAACAAAATGACCTTAGACTGAAAATATCATGTACGTCACAAATTCTAAATATTACTCAATACATCAAAGATAGGACGGTATTTGTATATCTCACTGCCGCTTACGACATAGTTACTCACAGAAGACTTCTTCCAAAACTATGTCACATAACATTAGATAGGAAATTGACTGGGTGAATTCGAGAATCACTTTTGTGTAGTGTAATACGTGATTTCAATAATTGAGATGTTTGGCCGATGTAGGAATTGTTGCAAGAGAGACATGGAATGTTGTAGACAATTTCAATTGTACTAGGCCTATCTATGGGAGTCTTATCTTTTATCTTAGAATAAGATTATTAATTGTTAGGGATGATCTACAAGCCACATTAAGTTTAATGTTGTTATTATTATTACCAAAGCTATTACGTATTACACTACACAAAAGTGATTTTCGACTTCACCCCGACTGCTGTGCATTAGCCAAATATGTCCATTCCACTGGTCATCTCATGGACTATACAAACACTACAATTTTCCACCGTAAGAACAATAAATCTAAAAGAAAGTTCATTGAAAGGTCTTATATTTTCCTTAACGATTTCTCCATCAATGTTAAGAGCGACATTAAGAATCTAAGCGATATATACCACTTCTTACTTAAATCAGATACCAAGAACAATACAACATCACAGATAATTAACTTGACTGATATATCCATTGACAACTAACCTACTTTAATAATTTTCATTAATTAAAAAAGATAACATTCTCTTGCTTTTCTTAGATAAATCTCAATAAGCTATTATAATAATAATACATGAACAAAATAATAAAAAAATTAATCTAAAATAACAATATTACCCTAAACTGGGATTTAACTTCATTCAAAAGATTCAAAAGAGCTACACTGCACCCCAAAATTAACGCATAATTTTAAAAACCCTGGTAAATTAAATAATTTTAATTATTCGATTTTTGTGCTAATAATATATTATCGTTACCCCGGTATATTGTAAAATTTATCGAAAGAACGGTAAAAAACGCTGATGTTTTTATCATTTTTTTGCAAAAAATTAAAAACATGCTAATTGTGCTTCATTTTATTTCGAATTTAGTTGGGTTGGATTTCGTTGTGCTGAACGTTTAAAGGGGTTTTTCAAGTTTATTAAGTGTTTTTTCTTTGAAATGAACTACCCGCAGCAAGAAAATCGAAAATTTGTCAGAAAGTGACTGTTTTAGAATCGTTACTCTTCGCGAAGAAGGATACACTCAAGTAGAACTCGCTGAATGTTTTAACGTCACCCAGTCAACAATTTGAAGGGTGTTAACACGTCTTTCTATTACTGGAAGTAACTCGAGAAGACCCGGTCAAGGCCGTAAAAGAGTTAAAACTCCTAATCAAGACCGGTTTTTGACACTTCGTACACTGAGACAAAGGTTTGTTTCCAGTATTTCTCTACAAAATGAATTTTTAGATCGTTATAACTTTAGAATCAGCCAAAATACAATTAGAAGAAGACTTGCCGAAAACGACCTACACCCTGGAATGGCACCAATTGGCCCATTATTGACCAGAGACCATAGAAGGCAAATATTGAATTTTGCTCGTGAACATGTTGATTGGAATATTGACGATTGGGGAAGAATATTGTTCACCGATGATCCAGGTACTGTCTTTTTTCTCATGACAGGAGAAACCGAGTGTATAGAAGGCCTGGGGAACGCTACGCACAGTGTAACACCGTAGGGACTGTACAGTATGGCGGCGGCTCGGTAATGGTATGGGGTGGGATTAATTTAGAGGCTCGTACGGAATTAGTTAAAATAAATCACGGTCGGCTTACATCGCAGAGGTATATAACAGACATTTTAGAAGAGCATGTCGTGCCATTTGTACCATTTATTGGGAATAATTTCATGCTTATGCAAGATAATGCCAGGCCACACACGGCAAGAATTGTGCAGCAGTATCGTCAGGAGGTTGGAATTCCTGCCATGGATTGGCCTGCGAGAAGTCCTGACCTTAACCCAATAGAACATGTTTGGGACATCATAGGCAGACGACTACGACAACTACCTAATGCACCAAACACATTAGGTGAACTGTTTTTGCGGTTGGTTGAAATTTGGGATCAAATTGATCAAGAAGAAATCAGAACGATTATTCTCAGTATGAGAGATCGTTGTCAAGCAGTAATAAATGCCAGAGGAGACAATACTCGATACTAGTACACAGTAGTAGTATTTTCTTCAACTTTAAAAACTTTTTCTTCATTAATTTATGATGTTAGTTTGTTTAGATCAGCTCGTTTAGATGTTATGATTTATGTTAGGATGTTATATTGTTTTGTTAATTTCAATACATTTTTGTAAAAAAAGAATAGTTTTATTTAAGATGTTCTAAAACAACCATAAAGCAGAAAAGAACAAACAAAATTTTTTTCATTACAACTCAAAATAAGAATTTTAAAATTATGCGTTAATTTTGAAGCGCAGTGTACTTTGTGTTTTAGAATAAAATAAAACAGTTTTAGAAATAAATAAAAATATCAAAATATCAAAAATTACCATTGCAGTACATAAGAATAGTGGAAAATTTTTCTTAAATATATTTTGAATTTATTTATGTTATACAGTCACTCGATATTTAATTTTTATACGTTTATCATAAGAATATGGAAATATTAATATATTTAGAACTTTTAACTTAATATCAATATATTTACCTGATTAGTCATCGCTACAAATATAGCCAATAAAAATATATAGCAGTTCCATGTAAACCTAATTTGAACATCTTCTTTGGAGAGAGTAAGAAAATCCCACACCATACGACCCAGGAATGGTATTGTTACCATGAAATTATCACCGTTGGTTTCGATGAAATCATGGCGGGTAATGGACGTTGGATCGATGTGGTGTTCCCGGAATGGTCGTAAAAAATTCTATAAAAGAAATGAAATAATTTTTTAATAAAATGTAAATATATATTTGTAACAGTAGATTAGTTTACATAAGAGTACCTATATTTTAAGAACCCGAGAAGTAAACATACCATTAACCAGGTGTGGCATTACCCTATAAATTATAATACCAATGACAAAGTAACTTATGGTACGTTTATGAAGGAATAAGCAAATGTAATATTTACGTTTATTCTACACTTATTTTTTTTTAGTTAATAGATTGTCAACAATAAGTAGTGCGTGCTATATTTAATTTTTTTTGGAGTAATATTTTAACACAGTGGTCAGTTTTTGTTTAAATTTCTGTTCGTTTGTATTTTACATTACTGCATTATAATTTTTTGTAATTTTAGAATTTACTTGCTTTATTATTAATATGAAAAAGAAATCCCAATGCAGGCTTAAGACAGTACAAATAAGAGGAAAAGCAATGATATTGTCCGTGACCATAATAAACGAAATTTTAAAGCAATTCACGTGGTTTGTTGTTTTAATGGAATCTGTTCAGGTATTCTTGCCTCCTTCAGAGTATATGGTACGACCATGTAGGTACACATACAATTGGCAAAGAAATGCTGTTAAGATTGGAGAATCAATTATATTTTTATAAGCAGTTTACGTTAGTGTAATTTTCCGCGATTTTTCTAATGCTCGAAAAAGAAGGAAATAAATAAATAGTAATAAATCCTCGAACCTAACCTAACCCCAGGGTGAATTTTTGTTTTGATTTTTGGTGGTGTGTTAAAAATTAATTTTGTTGTTTGTATTTTTGATAATGGTTGGTATATTAAATGTTCAATCATTTCTTTTATTTTATGGTTTGAACACAACTATTGTTATTCTCACTTCAAAAAAACCAACGAAGTGTGGAAATAACTGTGCACGTATGAACACATATAGCCACAATAGAAACAGAAAGAGCGATGTTAGGTATACGACTGTCCTAGAAGGTCTCAGAAATGATACTTTTCAGAGGCGATAAGCAGATGGTTACAGTAATTTTGTCTAAGACAGCCGCGGAGATTTTCCTCCCAGAGGATATCTTGTTCCTAGTTAACAACATGTGGATTAAAATGACACATGAACTAATATATGTGATATATTCAAAATAAGTTTATTACATATATTCAAAATAGTTAATATAAATGAAGACCCTGCCGATTGACCTTCTAGTCTAGTCAGAGGGAATCGCCGGAACTCTCGAAATAACGGCATGTTATATAAATAGAAACCTTTTTGCAGAAAACACCAGTAAGAAGATACTTTCGCGGTGAGTATTTTAAATGTAACGCTCGTATAAACAAATTATTATTGTAAGATAAATTAGTATAAATAAACTTTAAATTAAGTTGTAAGTGTTATAAATATAGAATCTTTGATAAATAATAAAAACAATAAATTAGAATTAATAAAAATACAACAGTATGCACAGTACTAGATGATGCATGGGGCGAAACCTATAGGATTACCACAAAAACATTAAGAACAAAGACCCTTAAACTTAGTGTAGTTCAGCCTTTGTGCAAAATACGGAAAGAAATAACTAAAACCTTCTTTCCTGTTACGCCCCATTTACAGTTCACTAAAAACAACGTCAAAGTTCGACCTGACGTTTTTTTTCGGCCCAAGAAATAGCAATAGCAACGATAATTATAACATTTGAAAAATCATCTAGTCCTAATGGTGTACCTCCTGGGGCGATAAAAGATTATCATAGAGAAAAATCCTGAGATGGTCCAGAGGATCTTCAATGAACTCCTATAAAAGTAAATCTGACTGCTGATCTGCCTTCTAGACAGCCTTCTTTCGGCGTTACCTCTGGTATCGGTGGTTCATTAACGCCACCTTCAGCAAATAGGGATCGAAAGTAGTCTGACCACGTTTCCTTCCGAATGTGTTTCAGAAAATGAAGACATTGTAACAAAAAACATTGTTTTCGACGAAATATTTCGTGATATTTAATACACTTTTTATTTGCCTTATTATTGATGAATGTTATGTATATTCTTGCTTATATTGTTTGTATTGATCTCTTAATTTTTCTCGCAAAATAAAAATTTCATTTAAAAAACTCGATGTCGAGTTGGTCCGCTAGTTTATACTATACTGCAGGTCTAAAAATAAACTTGAAAAATGGTACTTTGAGCCACAAACACAAAGATCGGGTCTCCAAGCGTCAACACCAAGGAAGATCTATAAGACATGCCAAACAAAATGTTTTTAGTGATATTGTTTTTAGTGATACTCTAGTAAACCACGTAGTGCAGAACGTCAACTAAAGTATGAAGATTTATTGAAAAATATATATGCTATGTTTTGATGGTTTGTAGATATTAGCAGAAGTATACAAATCTTATGAGGAAGGAATTACGAATTTGTGGAATTTAGAAGATGGAAGCCCAATATTCAATAAAACTATGAGCAGAAACAGATTCACCACAATTTCCCAATGTCTGACATTTCATAATATATATATATATATATATATATATATATATATATATATATATATATATATTAAAAATATATACCTTAAAAACCAGGGAAGAACGGAATAAAGATCTGGGCAGGATCTGACAGTTAAATTTCATATATGTACAATTGCCAAATATGTAGTGGTAAAACCAGAGACTAACGTGAACGCAACCAAGGCAAGCGAGTTGTTTTAGACATGGCAACTGGACTGGAAAGATTAGGATGAAATGTGACTACCGAAAATTTTTTTGCAAGCCTTGATCTTGCAAGAGAACTGGACAAACAAAACTTAACATTACTTGTAACAATGCGAAAAAGTAAACCAGAACTTCCTCAGGAATTAGTAAATGCACGTAGTAGGAAGGAATATTCAACAAAATAGGAAAAAAGGAAACATTATTACTTTGCTATCAACTATGCATAATAGTGGTGAAATTTCTGAAGATGAAAAACCAAAGCCGCAAACAATTTTTGATTACAATAAAAAAGTCAGGTGTAGACACCATGGGCAAATTTGTCCGAACGTACACACTCAAAAGACAAACAAGGAGATGGCTTGTAACAGTTTTTGTAATATAATTCACATAAGTGCATTGAGATCTTATATTATATGGTGTCATCAAGCAATTAGGAAAAGAACTGAAACACGTGCAGATGAAACTTCTATTTCACAAGGTCATCCGCAAAAACCTGGAAAATAAAACGTGGTAGATGTCGGAAATGTCCCAAAAATATGGACAAAAATTATTTCCAGAGATGTCAGAAGTGCAATCGATTTGTTTGTAAGGATCATCACATAACTACTTGATTTAAACGTAAATTTTTTGAAAATTGAAAATAAAACTTTTAAATTTATTTAATAAATTTTGTGTGTATTTCATATAAATAACTATTTTTTTTACATATATTATTACACTGTTTGATGGAAAGCTTTGGGGTTACTATTGACCCCATTGGTATTAGCAAAAGAACTAATAAAGTCAGCAGGTAGTTTATCTGGCGAACATGTTTATAAAATTAAAACTGATCTAACGCCAATGTAGACGCAAAAGTACTTACGGAATGTGGTGGTGAAAATTAATAGAAGAAAAGATGTAAGGGAAATAAACTAAAGTATTAAATATAAAAATGGTGCGCTATATTATATGTCAACTACTAAAATAATAATTGGTGGGATAAGGTCTAATTTGTGTTCAAATTATAATGTAATAGTGTTTATATTTAGAGTTTTTTCCTGGTTTTTCCGCATAATTTTCAACGGGATCACTAACGAAAGAATTTTTGTGTCTGGTTGTGTATGGTTGTGTTCTTAAAAGAAAAATATTGACAATACCGTTTTAAAGTAATCTAGTTTAAAATATATAATATATGTCACTTGTCAATATGAGTAAGTCGGATAAAATGAAATTATTAGAAGAATTTTTTGTATTACCAAGTAACAAAACAAAATTACTAAATACTTGTATGTTGATAGTTATAAGGTTAGATATTTTATAACTATTTTAACTATTTTCTGTGATGGGGTTGATTTAGTAAAATATAATAATTAAATAAACTACTAGTTAGAGTTTGTACAATAAATAAGAAATAATTGATATTTTACTTACTTTTCCTATATAAGGTAGTTCTACAGATCCCCATGTGTCTGCAGCCCAATGTACGAATCCGGAGCCAAAATCAGCAGTGACGATTCCACAAAAAGCGGCAACGAGAATGGTACTTAATTTTTCTAAGTGAATATAATATACGATAAATACAAAATTTATCACCATCAGAGTTAGACATATTCCCACGCAGATGACTTCTTGTGTTCTTTTACCTGAAAATAATAAAAAAATAGAAAATATAGACTATAAATAATCACAACATTAGTTTAGTTTATTATTTTCAACGTAAGCAAACTATTTACTTATATACACAAATAATCTATGCCCCTTCTCTCGTATCGGAAGAATTTGGGCGTGGTTCTTTTAAAAATCTCATACAAGCTGTTTGTATTATCTTTAAAACCAAAATGAACTGGGCACCATCCTTTAATAGTTTACTCTCGTAAGGAAATGAGATTAGACAAAGAAATAAAATAAAAAATTTAAAACAAAGCTAACCTTCATTATTTTGTAAAGAAAAAAAAACGATATTAAAAAATTCTCAGGGAGTATCATAATCCAGGAAAAGAAATAAACAGTCTCTGTTTAGATACTAAATTACAAATGAGTAGTGCTTATGCAAAACTAAAATCATATCGTAAGAAATCAAACATTTTCTATCTTGGCATTAGATTATGAACGAGAAATACTTATATGAAAATAAAATTATACTTTATTCCAAATTTCTAAATTCGTTCACATAAAAAAATATATTTATATATTATGTGGATATTTATGTAATTAAAAGATCAAGAATAAATAATTTCACTGTTATTTAGTACATGAATATTCTTTACTGTTCAATAATAAAAAAAATGGTACAACCTGAATTATACAAATGCTTGTGTGGCTTGTAGAAAGAATATAATTTTTACCAGCTAGGTACTTAGGCTGAGATTTCAGAACGTCGAATCTATCGACAGCAGAAACATAATATCCACCATAAAAATATGTAAACTTGGGCGGCTAAGCAAACGGCATATTCCACAAAAGGCACTTACACCTAACAACAGTAATACTTCGAATCGTTGAGGGTTTTATGTTTCATGTAAAGGTGGATCACTATTCATTCTGATTTCAGAACACAAACCATAAATCTATAGTTAAGATAACATCGCGCCAATAATCATAGTACTGGCAACTATTAGTTCTCCCGGTAAGGGTCCAAAATAAACATTTCTTCGAAATATAAAAGAGAAAAGGAATTTTTTGACTTACCTCGTCAAAAGACCACTCAACCAAAATTTTATCCTGTTTGCTGGACGTTCAAAGAGAGAAAGGAAAGATGAATTTTGATGAGTTTACGAACGCTCGGATTTTGAGGCCAAAGTCGGAGCTATTGGGAACTACAGTTGGATCATTGGGGAAATTTAGATACACTCAGAGGATAGATGAAGTTAGCAACATTGATTTGAATAGTTACTAGGAATTATAATTATACAGGAATATACAGGAAGGTGGAAGGTGGAAGGAGGATACAGGAAGGAAAAAATGAAAAATATATCAATAAATGAAAGAAACGTTAAAAGTCCGAAAAACTTTAAGAGATGCATAATGGATAAATAAACAAAATAACTGTGTCTCCAAATCACCCAAAGATTATTACGAATTTCGAGAATGGTAGAAGTCATAAATTCATCACCTACTTTGTCTTTCATTTCTCTATTATTATTAATATTCCTTCCCAAATTAACGAGAACTAAACTATCCTTCTTCTTCTTCTAGTTCCATGACCGTTATCGATCGTTGGATATCATGTTGGCTACCATATTCGCTATCGTGACTTTATTGACAGCAGCTCTAAATAACGATGTAGTTGATTTTCCATACCATTGCCTTAGATTTTTCAGCCATGATGTTCTTCTTCTACCAGGACCACGATTACCTTGGATCTTTCCCTGAATGATCAGATGTAAAAGATCATATTTTTCAGGGTGTCTCATAATATGACCGAAGTATTCCAGCTTGCGTTTCTTTATTATATTGACCAGTTGTGTTGTTTGGTTCAGCCGTCTAAGGACCTCCTCATTTCTAACTCTGTCGACCCAGCTTATTTTCAGTAGTCGTCTGTATACCCACATCTCAAAGGCTGTCAAGCGTTTAAGCATAGCCTCAGTTAGGGTCCACGCTTCTACTCCATACAGCAGGACAGGAAAGATGTAGCAAGATATCATACGAACTCTAAGGTCAATGCTAAGATCATGACTGCACAGTACGTTTCTCATTTTTACAAAGGCAGCTCGGGCTTGTTCTATTCGGCTTTTAATTTCTGCGGTTGGATCCCAACTCTCATTGATATTACTGCCGAGATACACGAGTTTCTCTACTCTGTCCAGTGTGGCATCTCCGACTTTTATACCGTCATCATGTATATACTTTTGTTTGCTAACTATCATATATTTAGTTTTCTTAACGTTGAGTTTTAATCCATACTGATCACAAGTCTGTTTTATTTTGTTCATTAGATTTTGAAGGTCTTCTCCGCAATTGGCAAGGACTAAGGTATCGTCGGCATATCTAATATTGTTGACGGTTACTCCATTCACAATAATACCTTCGGTTGTCTCCATTAAGGCTTCCTTAAATATTTCCTCCGAATATAAGTTAAAAAGTAAAGGCGACAATATACAACCTTGTCTCACTCCTCTTTTTATATTTATTTCATCCGACAGTTCTTGTTCAACCTTTATTCTTGCCACTTGATGCCAGTATAGATTTGTAATTATTCGTAGATCTTTATCGTCCAATCCAATCCACTTCATATTAATTTCAAACTGATTAACTCATCCAGTAATTTCCCGTCCTTCATTAATGATCATCTTCTTCTTTTTAATTTCCTGAACAGTTTAATTTGCATTTTCACACTCAATTGACTTTGAATTTCTTATAAAATCTTTTATTTACAAATTTATAACATTTTACAAAATAGCTGATAATTTGTCTTCCATTCATTCAATTAACTATACAGTCTCTTAGACAATTAATAATTTTATATCCAATCAATTAGTTTCTCCTTTACATTAATACTTTTTCATCCAATTTTACAATTTAATTTTAAAATTAATATTATCAACTTATGGTATTGACTATTATTCAATTTATTACTATCGGTACCACATCTTATGACCCTTTTAATTATGAAGTTTCTTTTTGTACCAATAGTATTAGAATACCCTCACTCTTTTTTATCCAATTCAAATAATTTTTATATAAATGGCCGCACCACTCTTCGCTATGAGTTATTCGTTCAAATATTTGTTATTCGTTAGCGAATAACAAATTATGATACTGCACACTTCTGCCGGTGGGCCAAAAATGTCAAATATTTGCGTCATGCGTGTTTGGCAGAACCAAAATGAACGTGGCCGTATTGACGGTCGCTGCAACTTATTTTTACTTAAATCCAGAAATCCCATTCCATTTTTATTTGTCCACTCCATTTCACTATTCACATTTGTGTGTTTATATAGTTGTACATAAATACACAAATTTGCCGAATTAATGGTTCAAGAACAACGAGAATTACAATAAAGTTAGGTTAAGATAACAGCGAGAAAACCACCGGTGCAAGCGAAGTGTGGGCAGTCGACACATACATTCAGCTTATTAGTTTCCTATGAAGTGTGTCAAAGAACCGACAAGTGGACGGATAGGCGTATTTGCTATTCGGATATCTGCTCCACACTTCGTCTTATTCGGCCGAAAATGGCGCAAAACGAATAACACATAGTAAATTGTGTACCGCTATTACAGTAAACACAATTCAAATTTTCCTCTCAGTTTCCTTTAAATCACTTATTTTCTCTTATTATTACATATTGTGCTATTTCTAGATGATTAGATGGCGTTGTTACGTCTGTAAATAATTATTGTCCTACGACGGGATACATTTTGTTTCGACTCAGAGCAGTAGCATATGCCGCTCTGATGAGACCTAAACAGGCTGAAATACGTATAAGCGGCTTGCCGCTGTCCTGCCTCGAAATGAAAATCTAATACCGTCATTATGTTTTATTTCTTTACTCTGTTTGGAGTACCAGAAACTGAATTTACTACGAATTTTGACCATAATGAACAGCATGTAAAATGCAAATTTTAGTCCTAGTCCAGTGGTAAAGATTTAAATTCAGTTTCGCCTTATAGGATATCTTATGATTTCTCTTGTTATAAAATTTTTGTTTTTTTTTTCTAACGTCAGCTTCAAATTCTACTGATAAATTTAATCTTATGGTCACTTCAAAAAATAAAACAAATAAGTAATAATAAAAATAATAATAACTACTATCTTAATTTTAATAAACCAATCTGATAAAAGTAAAGTTTAAAATATGGGTCCTTAACTTTTTACAAACGAACTGTCAATCTGGTCTCGAATGTCATTGTCATTGAAACAGTCAAATATTACTTCGGCAACTTAGTTTAGGTTTGATGACAGTTCAAATGTAGAAATATTTTATTTCGAGTAGAGAATTATGTTTGCGGTCACTAATCCAATTACATCGGCGTATTGCCGTATAATTAAATACTTTTAGTACAATTATTTTTAAAATATTTTTTAGCAATGCAAACCCAAGCACTGTTTGGTTTTGCGGTTAGTTATGCAAGTACTCCAAAGTCAGTAATCTAAACCACATCTTTGTATTTAACAGTCAGAATTTTACCTTACATTTTTCTCAACTGAGTGGGATTACCTGCTATTTAGGTTCACTGAAGATAGACTGATTAGTACAAAAACGTTTTGAACGTTTTAATCCATTTAAATTTTTTAATTTATTTTTCTTTGTAGTGTAATACTTACAACAGAATTTTTTACTGCCATGTTCGAGTTTTTTTAACTAATGTGGTATACAGCCAACTCCCCGGAATTCCCTTTCTAAGTCATAAGTACGTCTTAACTTTTTGTATAGGTATCAATATTCAGCTATTATTGTTTTGAGTTCTGAGTAAACAATTTATAAACAAACTGTGATTTTTCTTACAATAAATATTACTTTTAAAGAATAAAAAAAACACTTAAGTAACGTTAACGTAATAACTGTGAAGCTATACATTTCTCTCCAATAATCGACAAATTAGTATAATATTGCATTATTGTGCATGGTTTACCAATTCTAGAGCTTGCTTGCATTTAAATAATCCTATTATGATTATCGATGCATTTCGATATTTGAAA